TCCCAGCAAGTTATGCATCCAATTTGCTCTTGAAGGTGTTCATTGGGGTTAAAATAAGTTAAATGATCTTCCATGAAGATCTTACTGTAGGCCATTCTTATTTTGTAATGTGGTTATGAACAGGAAGAGAAGATCTATTTAGTTGCCCCTGGGAAGAAAGATAACTAATTTATTGCCCATTCTGTGAAAATATTGCCATCTTTGCTCTGGATAATTGGGTTCAGAATTCTCGTGAGCTGATGGTAGCATAAACAGTTGAGGGTGGCAGATTGCCAACAAGCACAGGGGCATATGTGATTACATACAGGCTGAATTAGTCAATCCCACCAGCAGCAGTTCTCACCTTATGACAACTGAAATTCTATTATCTCCAGGTTTTATAACTGCTTAAATTACTTTGCCTTTTGTTACTTGATATGGAGTAATAGCACTTTGTAAGAAAATTCTTTACCTCCTACAAAAATATTCACTCACTTGCCCTCTGCCTCCCCCTTCTCCCTTTTTGTTCAGTCACATTTCCTGGCAGCTGTTTCTGCAAAGGCCCAATCTCACTTTTCTTAATGATTTGGGGTTAGCAAGGATCTTATGATTGCAGCCCAAATGAAATTTAAAATCTGATTTAGAATGAATTGGTCTTCTCTGTGGAAAACTGTGGGGATGGGGGAGGAAATGGGAGGAGGGGAACAGGGGCTTAAACCTACTTCTATTATAGTTACCAGAAGTTTAGTCATTGACATTAGTGAATTGGGAATGCAGGACTGGAGTGAATCGCATCATCTGTTCTTCAGAAATTTCTAATACTCCATCTTAAAAATTATTTAAGAAGGGTTGTGTCCTAGATAGACAAAAGCAGAGGCACAGGAACGGCCTCCCATGGCAGGACCCGAGGCAGTGTTGACCTGCCCAGAAAAAGAGAGAGAAAGCCCTGAAAAGGGGGCATACTTACCTCCCCTAGGAAAAGCAGAGCTGTGCCAAGAAGGGCAGCTGGCATAGTTCATCAGCCACTTTTATTGCCAGCTGGGGGCAGCGTTGGTAGATGACATCAGAAAAAACCACCTCCCAGAAGATTCAAAAGCTGGAGGCAGAGAAATGGCAGGGAAGGTAGCAAGGCCACCCGAGGGTGAAGCTACTCCCTGGGCTGCAACTCGGCAAGGCCTATAGCTCCAGAAGGGGCAGGATGGAGACCCGCCAGAGTAGTCTTAACTACATTAAGAAGTTTTCACACTTGGCTCAGCGGGACAGCCAGGTCAAAGAAGGACAGCATAGAGGGATCTTGAGGACCACAAATGCTGGACCGATAAGTGGGATGGGCAGAGGCCCATGCCCCAATTTATTCTTTAGTTCTTTCTTTCTTTTACTTTGTTTTGGAGGGCACCTGGAGCCCGAACCAGGGAAGGACCTTCTAAGGGGTCCCGAGTCATGAAGAGAGACCAAGGTGGTATTGCAGAAGCCTTGGAGGCAGCTTGGACACAGGGACTGAGATGATTCCATGTCTCCATCATCCAGGGCATAAGAGTCCAGGGACAGACAAAGCGAGGAGAGGACAGATGGGGACATCAAAAGGGGACAGGCCAGCAACCCATCATCCAGCCTCAGGAATCTGATGGTAAGAATTTTTTTTCTATTTTCTATCTTGAATTTCTTCATGGCCAGTTTATGGCTGTGAGAGGGGCAGTAAAAGCCCATCTAGGATGTCCCAGACCCCCGCCCCAGGCACCCCGATACTTACCACAGTGACAGGGTCGAGCGGCAGCTGGGGAGAACTGTGGATGCAGGCTCCGCAATTCTGGAGCTGCCTGAAGCTGCAGATCAGCATGGGACATGGGTGGAGCCTCGGAGAAGCACAGGAGGCTCAAAAAGCAGCTGGGAGAATAGCTGTGCATCCGGCAAGGGAGGAGCAGGACAACGACACGGAGACGCTGGCAGAGCACAGGAGGATAGCCCAACTGGAGGACAGAGGGAGAGAGTTGAGAGGCGGCGGGAAGGCTCTGGTGGGGCAGAGAGGAAGCCCAAGCCTGAACAGCCAGGGGACTCCTGGGAGCAGCACCGCTACAGGCATGGTAGTGAGAGATGGTGGCAGGGAGCTGCTAGCCTGTGCATGCAGCCCAGCAGGGAAGGAGCAGCCCAGCAAGGGAACTGTGCACCTCACCTGCTTGGAAACAGCCAGGGAGTGACCCCAGGTCAGTTGGGACCCAGAAGCAGTCGTGCAGGGGCGACAAACCAGGGTGGGAAATGGGGGCGGATGCCCCCCCTTTCCACGGACACTGGGAGAAAATGTACGAGTAAGTCCCTCCTTCTTTTTCTTTCTCCATTTTGAGTGACCAAGCGGACCCTGGGAGATAGGACCCCAGGGGCTCATCAGCAGAAGGTTGAATATTTTCTGTTGGTTCATTTCTGAAGTCCTAGTTAGCCCTGAGACAGGGCAAGTTTATGAGCCCAAGCTGGCCTGAAGCCAAGGAACTGGCAGTGGGGAGTTTGTGTTGGCCAAGAAGGCCCGAAGCACTGCAGGTGAGCGACCTGGGTGAAAGGAGAGACCATCCAGGGGAAGACCTGCCATGTACGGCATCAGTCCAGGCCTTGGAAGTGGTGAGGGTGGGATAAAGGGGAGGTTTGGAGCCCCATGAAGAAAAGACCAGAATTGAGACCTCTTCGCTACTCAGGGGCCACCTAAAGGGAACTGCCTCCCCAACAAGGAACAACGAAGATGTGGCAGGGGAGTAAGGGCAGCACCCGTACCATCTAGGTGGCACCTGAGCCAAGCCTCATTCTGACTTTGCTTAGGAACAAGGCACCTACAAAGAAGAGGCCGAAGCCTTATAACACCTACACGTGACAATGGCCATTTTGTTTTCACCATCTTTGTCTTCTGGTTGAAAGTGCTTTAGTGCCTTGATGCATTTGTAGAAAGCACCAAGCTCCTTTAGTCTCCTTTTATAAATTTTTCCAGTAGAGCCAGACAGAATTAACCACATTGAGTTTCATAGGAAAATATTGATTTAATGCACCCAAAATGTTTCATGAAAACTTCTTAGTTTTGAGTGGGGTATCCAGGTTGTAGCCATATTGGTCTAGAGGAAAAAGCGATTAGGACTTGTGGTAAAGGTGATATCTTTTATTAGACCACTTAGATTTTTGCCAAAAAAAAATCTTTAATTTCAGGCACAAACACCCTTCATGAAGCATCAGAGAAAAGATTGTAAAAGTTCTCCTGGGTAGAAATGAAAGTTCATATTTCCATCTATTTACTCCTCTGTAGAATATGAAACACCACAACCAAAAGGAAATATGACTTGACCCTGTTTACCAACAAAAACTTCAAGGTACACAGACTATTCCAACTTTTTCTCTCAGCCTAATCTACATAAGTTCCAAACAGATTTTACCACATCTTCAATTGTCCTATGAAATATGAACTTTAATTTCTACCCAGAACTTTTACAATCTTTTCTCCGATGCCTCATGAAGAGTGTTCATGCCCAAAAGCCTGCAATTAAAAGAATGTTTTTGCAAAAATCTAGTTGGTCTAATAAAAGATATCACCTCTTAGTTTTGAGGAGATTCATCAGTTTGCAGGCAGGGTTTATCAGAAGGATAATGAGAAGCCTGCCCCCTCACATCCTCAGCCCAAGGGCAGAGCTGCCATATATTCTGTCCTACAACCTAGGACCCACTGATTTCGAAGCAACAGTGAAACTGACAAAAATGTACATTTCAGACAGGAACCGCAGGAAACAAGGGAGAATTGTTTATTTCAGAAACATAATCTCCCAGGATTTCTGGCATGATTTTGTGGTGTTTTTAATCAATGAAAAATTGGGAAAAAATAGTTTTCATCTGCATGAGAATAAATCATTTAAGTTTCTTACAGACCCCGACTCCTGAGTTTTGGTCAAATCTACCCTGCATTACTTGATCATCCTAGTAACCCTGCTCAACTTCTGGTCCAGTTTGAGTTAATATTCCTTGAGCATACATAACCAGAATTGTATACAGCATTCCAGATGAAGTCTCACCCAGGCTCACCTAGGATATATCTATCGGTACTGGAATTGCCTCGCCTCATACATCTTAAGATTGTAGTTAACTTTTTCATGGCTTCACCACATTGGCTCTTAGTTATTTTGTGAAAGACTAATGCATTCAGATCTTTCTCTTCATCTATTGCTTACAATAGGTGAGGCTCCAATTTAAAGCAGAAATTGTTATTTTTTATTACTACATCACTTTGTATTGTTACATATCAATCCATTTCTAATACTCTAATCCCAGAGATCATCTACTTCCTCTTGTATGCTATATCAGTCTTCCTCTATATTGACAATGTCACCAAACATTTCTCATCAGTTGATTTCAATAGCACACTCCTACTTTTGAGGCCAAGAGCAGTAATGAGCGTATAAAATATGAGTCCCAAGATTATCTTTATTAGAAATCTCCCATAGTTCCTTACCCATATTACAATTCTTCTATGTGTCTATCTACTCACTAATAATATTGTTTCACAAATAATATTCTGAATGGCACCATTCAAATATTTTACTGGTGTCCAACTACATCTACCACACTTCCTTTTACTAAAATAATTAGTTGTCTCTCAGAATTAAAATATAGTTTGAAACCCCTCTTTGGTACATTGGATTTTATTCCACTTTCCTTTTCCTTCCACATCTTATTTTGTGTTCCTTCATAATTTAGACCCTGCAACCCAAGTTAGACTAAAATATACATAGTTACTTATATCCTTTTCCCTTCCTTTTTCATTTATAGTTATATGAACTAGCAGCTTGTTCCAACATAATTTATACTTAATTAATCAAACATATATAAGACAAAAAGAGGAGCCTCAAAAAAACCAAACCTCAGATCCATTTAAACAACTTGTATTTGTTTTCCTAGCCAAAAAAGACTGCTTTGGGTTTGTATTGAATGAGTTGGGGGGGGAAAGTTTATGATGACTCACAAGTATGAAGTGTGAGGGAAAAGCAAACAACATAAAAGGCAGAGCCAACCAAAATTAGTGAGACAAAACTAGGTTTGCATAATACATCTATGCAAAAAGAAAGAGCCTATTATGTGTTGCAAGAGGATTAGGGGAAGTGATTGCTGAAGTCAGAGCATAAAGCTTTGCAAGGTCAGCTCCAGGAACAGTTAGTGATCAAAACCTGAGTGTATGTAGCTCAAAGCAACCACAAACACCACCTTCCACTCTAAATGTGTCTGGTTTGTTTCTGAAACACTGAGATGATCCTGCTGGGCTACGGTGCTCTGCTCCTCTTCTGGACATGTTGTTCTGCCCAAAATGGTAAGTACTGTAGTTAAAATGAAAGACATATCTTAACAAAAATGTGCTTGATGATGCATTTTATAAATAAAAGGAAAAAGTTGATATTACACTGGAGTCTGAGAGTTAAAAGTAATTAAAAGTTTGCCTTATGATCATCATACTCAGTATCTTATAGTGTGAGTGATTTCATCTGTGCATTTGTCTATATATGCTAAGCTGCCCAATGAAACTAAAATGTAATCTAGTTACATGCAAATGAACAAGAATCAAACCAACTTCTACTGTTTTTATCAACTTATAAATCTATTAATTTGTGTTACAGTAGTTAAAGTAGTAAAATCTAGTATTTAATCATTGCAAATTAAAAGTGTGGAATGAATATGACAAATATGTCTATTACTTTCTATGTTGAATGATTAATAAAATATTCTGTAAACTAAATTTTGCTATACTTTATTACAATAAATCACTAAGCAAAAGATTTATGACTGGGTTAAGTGCTTCCAAAATATCCATACTTTTTAAATCTACTTTCCATGACTCAATGACAGAGAAATTATTTTTTTAAAAGAGCAAAGTGTATGTAAGGAAACTTTTTTGCATTTTTTAGGTGAGTGCTTTACGGCCGGCCTTGAAGTTCTCTGTAGCACAGAACTAACACTGAGAAACAGACTTTTTGATTTCTGAAGAGCTTGTTTTCAAATATAAGAATGTCTGTATCCTTTAATCAGCATACATAATAATTTGCTATCCATGTCTGCTATCAGGGACCTGTAGCTACACTTGCAGGGGAAGAATTTCTGGGTGCTTTTAATTACAGATTATTTTACTGATTTCATGGCTTGGGGCTTTCATTTGATTAAAGAAGGCAGGTTAGGCCCAAAATATTTTTCAGGGTTTTTTTTCCCTTTCAAAAGAATTCAGTGGGCTAGAAATAATTTTAGTAGGAAAGTCCATAATTAAAACATATTGTTTAGTATATATTTCTATTTTAACTTAAACAAAAAAACAAATAATAATAATTATTATAAATTGATTTCTAATTTACAAAGATTTTGCCAAAATCTCTTTTGTTTTCAAAACAGTATTAATAATAAATGAGTACATTTGAAGTTTGGTGAGAAAACTAAGCCAAATCTGGTTTCTTTTTTATGCCCACCATCTACAGAGGTCAGGGAGATTATAAATTGACTTTATGTAAATAAGACACTATTTGATTATGTGGGACAGATTTAACTAGGAGGTAAACTACTGCAAATTGGCAGAAAATCTATTTTCCATGGTGGAACAGCTCTAGATCTACACTGATATAAGTTGGTTGTACAATTTGTGTCTCAGTCTTGGCCATCAATAATATTTATGTGAATTACAGATCTCATATTGTCTTTAAAAAGCTTCCAAGGGCTTCTGGTTCTCGGAGTTTATTTTCTTCTTTATTTTGAAGCTATTGTAGCCATTGTTTTTATAATAAGGTTCTTCCTAGACCTCAAATTATGGTCATATAATTGTGATGATTTAGATTCTAGATCCATTCAGGTAAATACCAATGCTCCTATGGATTTAACTGGGGCCTGGATTTTGCCTTATAGACTTTAAGGTCTGGATTTCCTCCCAATTTCTATTTGTGCAAATTGGGAATAATTGAAATGAAATCAATAGAAGGATATCAGGTTGTGACTGGAATATTAGCCTCTAAATCTTCTTCCTGAAATCTATTCCGTTTGATGCTGTCCTTGTTCATGCCTAAGGGCTAGATCCAGATTGGTACTATAAGTGCTTAAGCAAGATTTACACAAAGTTCTTGGGTCATAGGTGATATATTTTATTAGACCAACTAAGTAGTACCCCCTAAAAAAAGATTTAAGCAGGATTTAGGCATCTAAATTTTAAAGAGTAATTCATATTGGCAAGACATGGCTTTTGTGTAATAACCTAGTGGCTAGATCTCTTGCCCAGGCTTGTGTCACATAAGGTGACGAAAACTCAGAATACAGACCTGCCAATTCCTGGGCAAGTGATCTAGCTACTAGGTTATTATACAAGAGATGTACATAATTAGTGATCAGTTACTAGGTTCTTGTTATATAGTAATTTTAGGTGGTTCCTGGAGCTCTTAACCCCTGGATTGTCCACACACAACACCTGAAACTGGTTTTAATCATTTGCTATGTAGCTTAATTTTATGCCACTACAGGGTAGGATGATCCATGTTACCCATCTTGTGTTATATTAATATGTAGTCACTCTAAGCTACACCTTAGTGCAGGGGTGGGAAATTATTTCAGGTGGAGAGCCGCTTACCGAGTTCTGGCAAGCTGTTGAGGACCACATGAATAGCCCCACCCCTTGACAAGTGTCCTGCCCTCTAGTTGCCATCTTGGGACAGGAAGTCCTGCCCCCTAACCCCTGACCTTTGCCACCAGAAGCCCCTTCTTTTGCCCCCAGAAATACTCCTTTCAGCAAGAGAACAGGAAAAATACCAAATTATTTTCTAAAAATCAAACATCAACAACATTCATTAATTTGGCTTCAGAAAATATTTTTGTCCTAATTACATGTGTTTGTGTAGTATACATAGAAGTGATTGCACAATAGTTTAAAATGAAGTCTTACTCTTGTATACTGTGGGGGGTGTGAGCACATGGGCTTGGATATAGTTTTGTGGGGGGCTATGGATGTGTGGATATGTGGGGGAGGGTGTGGGTGTCTGTGGGGTGGATAGGTGTGGGGTGAGGGAGCATGTGGGTGTGTGTGGATATGTGGGGAGTGGGTGGGTATGGGGTTTGTGGGGGACTGTGTG